TGAATGACTAAAATGACGAAAGTGTAAATGAAGAAAACTATGTGCTTGCCAACCAAGTTTGAAGCTCTGAAACGGAAAATAATCAACCCTACTCACTAAGCGCACATGGCTTGGTCAATTAGGCTTCTTGGCCATTGGCTTCGGGCACCCCAAGAAGGCCTTTAGGAACTCCAAAGGGTCCCCGCGGACCGCCGTTTAAGAACCACTGCTCTACCGAATCTTAAACGGTAATGTAGAGACGGCTGAGAAGCGCATAAGATTGGGAGATTAGAGTCCTTGTCATGCGTACATGGGCCTTACGGACAGTCCATCGGGGGCGCCCCCCGGTGTCTCTCTTGGCGGCAAGCGGGCAAGCGACGCCAAGCTGGTGCCAAGCTGTCGATCGCAGATCCAAGCTTCCTCGCATGGGAAGTGAATGAGGAGTCGGTTCTCGGGACGAGAGTGGTTTGGGCACCTTCGAAGACAACGTAATGGACCTGGATGGATGGATGGATGAATACGGCTGAGCCCTTTGTATCGGGCGGTAGCTTACGCCACCTAGCCATTTTGTTTTACCATTTAAGCTTAGAATATTTAAATGTGAAATCTATATTCACTCCGCAGTGCAAAGAAAGTGAGGCTAAGAAACCCCCTTGCAATCAGTGAATAAGAAAATACCTAGTTTTCTCTCGATTTCTGCCACCATTCACTTAATCTTTGCCTGGCAATCTCTACATCTCTACCTTTTTCGAGTAACGAGCGCCGCCTGGGGAGTTGTCTGCGAACTACAAATGAAGGGCAGCCCAATATGCCTCCGCCATGCAGAACACATTGGCATCGTGCCGTTGTATCGGTTTTCAGTGCTTCTTATACCCATACTACCGATACTAAAAAACCAAGCGTCAAAATATACTAAATACGCGCGAAGAGAGATGCTGACAACGTTGGTCCAGCTGCGGAACGGTGCACTGCGAAAATAGTGACAGCGGGAAGGTAGGCCTAAGTAGAGAGTGTACGCATGCGCAGAAGATACATCCGTACACTCTCTGCGGCTCCGAGGGGAAGGAAGGGCTCGCCCCCTCCCCTCCCCTCCCTCCCTCCCCCCTCCCCCCGCCCCCTCCCCTCCCCTCCCTCCCCCCTCCCCCCCCTCCCCCCCTCCCCCGCCCCCTCCCCTCCCCTCCCTCCCCCCTCCCCCCCTCCCCCGCCCCCCCCCCCCCCCCGAACCCCTCGAATTAGCGGTGGGTGCGTCGGCACTTAGACCATTAGTCCGGTGTCCCGTGTGCGGAGCAAGACGTTTTTCTCCCGCGGTCCCGAGGGTCCGCGTACCTGCCGCGCGCGAGCGCGACAGGGTGGGACTCGTGCGCGGTAAAGCACCTGCGTCAAGACACACCAGTTGGCGTTTAGCTGCCCTGTTCGGCAGCAGAAGCGTGACAGCCCTGTACAGTTTTGTTTTATCGTTGTAAATGCATATCATCCGCCTCGAATCAGAGCGCCTCTGACGGCCGAGAGCAGACCTCCAACCACAGCACGGCCTTTCACGATCACCCGGTCCCGATCGAGACTCGGGGAGACTCCAGGGCCCGGGGTACAACTGCCCTCAGGAAAGAGGAAACATTACTGGATAGATGATAAATGTACAAATAAATTTCAGAGCGGAAAAATGCTATCACAATCACATCACTAAAGTCGGGTATGGTTCTCAAAGCAATTGCGCGCAGTAACAATTGCATTCCTTTCTGAAAGCAATGCATAATTGTAATGAATTAATTTTTGTCCCCTAGCAAGTACAATAGTAATTAAACTACTTCTGAAGCAAACTAGTTGTAATTGCAATTAAATTACACGTTCCAATTAATTTTCCCAAGTATGTTAAATAGTAACTGAAATAGTACCAAGCCAATTATCATTCCATCTCAACATTTCACGTGTAGCAAATGCAGCCCCGTACAACTTACAAGGCGGCTGCAGAATAGCCTGGACGAAGGTTTGCACACGGAAACTAAGCGCCGACCAAAGTTGTACCCTGGCGCACTTGCCCTGCACAAACTTGTAAGTCATACGCTTGATCGAGAAGAGTTCTTTAGGCACGACATTTAACGAAAAGTTTAGGCGCAAGATTATACGATGCATAAAGTAGCGCTTATTTGTAACATCTACACATTTCAAATAAACGTCAATCGCCTATGGGACGTCATCACCGTTAATTTTATAAATTAAACTTAACTAATCAAGCGTAAAATCCCTCGCCAGCGCGAATCTTCTCAGCAACGACAACCCACACTATAAAAGAGCCCGTGCGTCTATTTTCCCGCACAACACTCGGGGAACGAATCAGCGCAACTTACGGAGGCAGCTCAGCGAATGACGATGCCGAAACATATGTTTAGACCAAAAAAAGCAGTCTGAGTTGTGACATTAAGCAATGCCAAAAAACGCAGTCTGAGTTGTGACATTAAGCAATGCAAGCGTGACGTTTTGCATTGCTTAATGTCACAACTTAGACTGCGTTTTTTGGTCTAAACACATGTTTCGGCATCGTCATTTGCTGAGCTGCCTCCGTGAGTTGCGCTGATTGGCTCTCTGAGTGTTGTACGGGAAAGGAGACGCACAGACTTTTTTTTAGAGTGCAACACGCTTGGGGATGCATCCACGTGCCGAGCGCTTTGCTTAGCGGCAGACCTCGTCACAACCGGTCTGGACCATCTTTTCATAAGCGGCCAATGAAAACTTGATTAAGCAAGTGTTATACGCGCAGCCATTTTTTTCCCCAAAACATGCACAGTCATCAGCATCAGCAGCCATTGGGATTGCGCTATTAGACTAATATATTTTCGGTTCAGCAAATCTCCAGGCTGACTCTATAGCTCGTGGTGATTGGCTCTCAGAGTGTTCTGCGGGAAAGCAGACCCACGGGCCTTTCTCTTGCACTTGCGAGAAGTGATTTGCACTCAGTAAACACCCTCCTCTCTGGATTATCTCCTCCACTCGAAGACGGGGAGGGAATATCAGCATTCCTTTGCAAATAATCCCCTCTCAAAAATAAAAATAAAAAATGATAAAAAAAAACTTTGCAATTTGTGTTTTGAGTGAAGGGTGCGACCTCCTCCTCGGCAGCTTTTGTCGTGAGGAGAAAACCGACCAAAAGAAGGGAACGAGCATGTCGATCCGAGATATTTCCGTGGCGCCTCATTTTCGGTGAACAGTGAGAAAGAGAGAGAAAGCCCGATCTCAACGACACAACAGAAGGCGCCACGGAAAGTTGTGGTTTTGGAGCTTCACTCATATCGGATCGGCTTGGAGCGGGCGAGCAAGGTCCTCGTCTCCTGGTCGGCCAGGATTCAAGCCATTCCAAAACGGAAACGATGAGCCTGCGGACCGACGCGAGTCCACCTAGCGGCAAAGCTAGGCCATGCCGCTCGAGCCTCTTTTCGGGCGGCGGATAGCAAAGGCGACGAAAAGACGCCTCCGTACGAGTTGAGGGGGCAAGCTTCCCCAAAAAAGGGAAAGCACTTACTCCCGGCTCCCCCGTCCCCCCACCAGAGCGGGGGCAGCGGCCAGGGATGGGCGGGCCACTTTGTGACTCTGGAGACCGGCCAGAAGCCACCATGTCGCCTACCGCGAAGCATGCAGTGTCATCCTCGTCGTCATCTTCGCCGTCGCCGAGATCGTCGTGGAAGGCCGAGAGTGGAGCGGTCGCCGCCATTGTCGGTATCCCGGGCTGGAGGTCGGCGTGGGAGCCGTCGGCGCGATCGTCGTGGCGGCGCCGGACAAAATCGGATCCCGGGGGCAGACGCTGCTTGCCTATCCCCCCTACAGCAACTCCGGTCGGGCCTTCTGTGGCCACCTGGACCTGCCAGGAGGACACTGGGCCCCCTCGATTCTATGTGTCCAGAAAGCCCTGGGAGGACGAGAGACGACCGGAGCCGGGGCAGGCATTCGACCGTGTCCTCTGGCCTTTCCATGGCCGCGCGGTGAACGAAATGGACGCCCGGGCCAGCGGCGCCTGCCTCCCACCTCGGCCAGAGAAGGTCTTTTGCCGCATCTGTGGCGGACTGCGGCTCCAAAGCGACGGGCATGACCGGTTTCTGTTCCATCGGAGCCCGGCCAAAAGCGAGAACGGCGATGCCCTCAGGGCCCAGCGCGTGGACGACCCGGCGGAACATCCGGACGCCATCCGATGCTTCGGCGCTCCGCTGGCCCGAGAACCTGTGTTTGCTGCCGCCGCCCTGGCAGCAGCCGGACTACAAGGGGTGGCTGCTCCAGCTCCGGCGACTGTGCTACCGAGACCGCCAACGCCGCCCACCGAATACCAGGCTGGGGGCCCGGCGGACTTTAGGACGTCATCGACGTGGACATTGACCTAGACCTGCTATGACCTGGAGACCGCTGGACAGGGACGACGACTTCGAGGCCTCTTGGGCTCATGTGGACCTGCTTTTTCCTTTTTTTTTTTTTTTTTTTTGTCGATGCACTCTAAAAAAAGTCTGTGCGTCTACTTTCCCGCACAACACTCGGAGAGCCAATCATCGCAACTTACGGAGGCAGCTCAGCGAAGGACGATGCCGAAACATGTTTGGACCAAAAAACGCAGCCTGAGTTGTGACATTAAGCAATGCAAGCGTGACGTTTTGTATAATGTCACAACTCGGACTGTCTTTTTTTTTTTTTTTTTTTTTGTCTAAACATATGTTTCGGCATCGTCATTCGCGGAGCTGCCTCCGTATGTTGCGATGATTGGCTCTCCGAGTGTTGTGCGGAAAAGTAGACGCACAGGCTTTTTTTTAGAGTGCCCCATGGTTCCAACGGCGCGCTTGCTGCCACGGCCCAATCCGATTGGCTACACACCACGTGACATGTGCTAGGATATTGAGTAGTTGGATTTTATATTTATTTGATATAGTGAAATATCATTTGTTATATTTGCCTTATTAAAGAATAATTAAAGTTAGGATCATTTGTGACGCCACAACTTGTTTTGTTTGTGGATTCTTCCTGGCCGTTCCCGCCATTTAGCTGCCACCATGGTACCTGAGCAGGCGTGCGCTTGTGCACGGCGCAGGACGACCTGAATTTATCGCGGATCGGCGTTCTCGATCGTTGATTGGTTTTCTGTAGAGTGTTATTGAGCGTGCCCGGAGAGTTATTTTCCCGTGGCATTTCTTGGTTTAGTTGTTATTGCTGCTGGCTGTGCTTGTGTGCGGGCTCCGAACTCGGCATGCCACGTGTGTTTGTTGCTGGTTATTCAATGTTGAAAGACCGAGCACGGTGCTAGAAAGGAATCAACGGTTTTCTAGACTGTGAAACGATTTAATGAAAACTTTGAGAAATAACTTGATACAAGAGGGCTATATTCGCGTTCGTTTTCGTTCCTGTCGTAGTTGAATCTGTCTCTCTTTTCGTCTCGTTCGCTTCCTGCTGCTCGTGTTCCTCGGGGTCTTCTTCCTTTCCCATTCCCACGCCGGCATGCTGGCATCGGCGGTCGAAGTCGAGCTGGCCAGGCTTCGATCACATTATCCGGGCGAGGCGGGGAGCACAGCGGTTGAACTGTTGGAACCACCGGGTGGTAGCAGACAGCGTCTTTGTTCTTTCGTCTCAGCTCACAAATCATGACAGCGGTCGCAGTGTGCACTGTGGGCTGACTTTCGAGTCAGAAAACGGCGATTTTCCTCTGCGACATGCAGAACAAGTTTCAAAACACCGTTCGATACTTCCCGGACATTGTAACCGTTTCGCAGCGACTGCTAAAGGCTGGCAAGTCCCTCGACATGCCGGTCACTGTCACCGAGCAGCACCCCGAAGGTTAGTAATTATCGGTCGTTTAAAGTGCACCCGTAGATAACGGCAGCCGCTGGAACGAAATGACAAGCAAATCCGTTTCACTTAAAACCAAAATGGGCATTAGTGGGGACCATGTTGCTGTCAACTGTAGAATGCCAGGGAATCTGGTAATGCCGCTTCAAGCATCGAGGAAAATCACCCGATTGGAAAGGGCGGTTAGCCTAAATATAGATGAATGCTGCACAGTCACGATTTTAGCGCGTCCACAAGACGCAATGTACAGGCCAGGCAAGTTCAAATCAACCTCGAGTCTCAATTAAGGTCTTAACATGTGGGCTGTCCAGCCGCCGCCACGTTATCACGTCACACAGCCACAAGCTCACAGAAATATTTATCGAGCACATAGAAGGCAAGTCGGAAATCTGGAAGACAAAATGTCAGTGCACACTATAGTTAGGGTTCCGCGTTTACTGTTTCTATTTTTTTCAAAATTCGGCGTACTTTTTTCGGTGTCTATTTTAAAATTCAATTTTTGTTTTTTTTTTCGGCGTATATTTACTCCCACAAAAGTTTATCGGCCTTTTTCGGTGAATACAAAATAAACACCAGCGGACGCCAGATCAGATGATCCTTGTAGATCTGGTATTTGTTGTCACCCAAAGAATAACTGCACAGATACATTGAAAAAGAAATAGACAATTTATTTGCCAAATGTGTTCAACTATAAAAAAAAACAAGAAAAAAATAGAAGTGCAAACAAGTCAGATGTGAAGTCTATGCCCAAAAAACATGAAACTTCACCTTCTGTACATCAGGATTACGTGTTCTTATTATAGGACACACACATGTACTTTCCCAAGTGCTCCTCGTTGATCCGCACTTTTTCTTTACTGTCATTATTACCCTGAGCTTCGAGAATGCCCTCTCAACGCTAACACTGGACATTGGCAGGCTGAAAAAGTCAGTGTTCCTTACAGCGAGTTTGAAAAGACGCTCGTACATGGCGAAGTCATGGGGCATTTCAGACTTCACGTTTCGATCGATAATGCGCACATAAAACCAAAACGTCGTGATGGCATCCGCGTATCCCACACATTCGGACACGTTTCGATAGACACTGTCGTTCCACTTTTTCGCCACGGCTCTGTAATACGACTGGAAGGTTAAAGAGACCTTTTTCGGTTCAAACTGAATTTTAAAAAAATTGAATCGACGTACTTTTATTGGTTTTTATTCGTTTAAATTGAAAATTCTGAACCTAAAAACTGACCTCTTTCGGTTAAAACCGAATTTCCGAAAATGGATTTGGCGTACTTTTATCGGTTTTTATCGGTTTAAACCGAAAACTCCGAACCCTAACTATAGTCCGTTGCAACCTAAGAACGAAGATCGAGGGTAAGACGGGCCAAGGAGAAGGAAGCAGACGAAACGCTGGAGAAGAGAGGGGGAAACCTCCTTCTCTCTTTAGCGTTTCGTCTGCTTCCTCCTCCCCGGCCCGTCTAACCCTCGCCCTTCGTTCTTAGGTTGCAACGGACTACAGAAGGGCAGGACTTTGCGCGAAGGCGTCCGCTATTTTTGTGCCATGTTTACACGGTATTAAGGTGATCACGTTTGTATAGTGCAAAAACTGACGAAAGAATTATGTTCTGTCTTTTTGCGTAATTATTTCGTAAGGTTTCACGTGTTACATCAACATAACTTTTCGCAATTAACATGTTTTGCAAAGACAAAAACAAATAAAATGTTTACACGATTATCTTCACCAGTCACTTGATTGAGACAGTCCAGTAATTGTAGAACACTAACATGGTGGACACAAAGACTGAGTCAGTATACATACTCCCAAAAGCACTTCCCAAAGCTGCAGATTTGTGTCTGTTTTAAACGTAATTCCACGCCATCTTTCTTGGTCTTCCTGACAGTGTCGCGACGACTGTTTCCAGTCACTCTCCAATTTTAGTAGATTTTGCTATCAGCTGTATGCTTACGGGTCTCATCTCATACATTCCCGACGCAGTAAAGTCTCCGATTGGCAGCTCCTGGGGTACCAACCATCGCACCTTTTGTCAATTACAAACTCGAAACTTACTTCAGTGGTCCCCGCTCCCAGAAAAAAAGAGAAGAAATCCTGTCTATCTGCCTTCCCGGAACTGTAACATGTTCCTCTGTACTTCGTTTCAGCTCGACGCGTTTTTAATAGCTACCGGAAAACGGCTGCTCCGGCCTGAACCACGGGAGTTTCTCTCGCAGGTTGTTTGGCTTTGAGCGCATGAAGGCCAGAGGTGCCTGGCTCACCACCAGCGAGAGCGTCATTCTCGGCCTGCTGGGAGGATCGGCCGACCCCAAGTTTATGGAATTCCATAAGCTCTTCATGGAACCCGCTCCAGACAGTGGACTCCTCGGCTTCCCCAAGATCGGAACTCTACACGAGGAGTCGGAACCTGCTAAATTGACCGGCATCCCGTCTTGAACTTGTTACCTATAGGTTACATCCTTTATTTGTTAGGGCGACCTTTGGTTAGTTTCTGGTTGAAAGTGGCTCTGAATTAGACAAGCGATTTTAACCTAAGTCGAACAATAAAACGAAATATGGCAGGTGCTGCAGCCTTCCAAGGCGCTGTGTATGTTTCAGAGACACTGGTTTCTGCCTTGCTCTTCACACCGTGCTCCTAGTCCACACCGAGTCTAATGAAAAATGGGAAAGAGACTAGGCTTTTTTTTTCGTGTTTTTTTTTTATTTTTTTTTATTGCGTTCCTTTCGTGAATTGATAAGTATGTATTCTGATTAGTATCGCAACATGGAAACGTTCGCAGACTGGTATACGAGCGACGCGGTATCCTTCAAGATGGCGGGCGGCGGGGGCTAGTTGCCTTTTCGTTCAACAGATGGCGCCCTTTTATCTAAAGGGTCTATATTATTGATAACCATGATAAGGAACCTACACAGAATCACACGAATTTGTGTTTATGCGCATTTACAAACAAACTAGAAAATAGTGATTCTTTACCCAATAGATGTATTTTTCAACGTGGCAGGTTGTTTGATCAATTCGTCCGATTAGTGATAACAGTGCGGAAGAAAGAATGACTGTGAATGTAAATTATTTTAATTAACAACTTTTTATCGCTATCCCCACCATACTAGAAAAGAACAGGCAGATTCTTTTTATTTTTAGTTAGTTACAAAACTTTTTTGTGTGTGTGTTCTCACTTCATTGCAATACGACATTTAGGTTTGTCGTTTTCGTTTCTTTCTTTTGCGTTCTGATTTTGTTGCAATATAACGTTACGGAGCTAACGAACGGAATGAAAGGTAGAAATACACTTTAACGCTCCGATTTGCTCAGAAGAGCACTTCTTTTTGCTACAGTTCAGTCTTATAAAACTCTTTCTTGCTTTATGAATTTTTCAATTTAAATACAAAACCAATGCACATCGAAAGCACCAAACGATAGACAAACGGTAAATAAGAAAATATTTTCGGGAATATTTTTGTGGGAAAGGTTTGGTCTGAGAACACCATAGTAAAACTGTTCTGATTTAAATCACTATTTATATGACGATTTAAATCGTGAGTCATATCATGATTTCAATTGTATTTATTTTTATTTTCCACCCTGGTGTTAGTAGAAGAGGACGCCGATGAACAAATGGCGAGGTAAGGGAGGTAATAAGCTGCGCTCTGGTTTCTTCCTCACGGTTGAACTCGAGCGAACATAATGTTGAATGCTAACGGCTGTTATACATGAAGATGGGCTTTTTAACTCTAACACTGTCGCATTACAACACTGTCGCATTACAAAGAGAGAGAGAGGAGAGGAGGGGGGGAGGGGGGGAAGGTAGGAGGAGGGCAGTTAATTTTCTTTGCTCCTCTCTCTCTTGCTGGTGTCTTTGAGAGAGGCTGAAGTTCTTTGTCGGGTTGCCGCCGATATGATGATGGCAACCCCAATTCCACCTTGGCCAACGGAGATGTAGTCGCAGAGGGACACCCAGATGTAGGTTACGAATATATATATATGATTTATTTACATATATAGTTACGGACTGGTTAAACAGATCTTTGGAGCTACGCGAGACCTCTCGGAGTCCTGGTGGCGTCTTGCCCCCTCCGATGCTCAGCGTAAAACTGCCTTCCTCTTTCCCGCGCGCCCCCAAAATTCCAGGGATCGTCCCCACTTTCCCGGGCGTCTGGTCAGCATCGCTTGTCACCTCGCCGGGTCGCTCCGCACCCCCCGCCGTGTCGTTCCGACCCGGCGGTTCTTCTCGCCGACTCCCCACATTTCCAACCCTGGTGCCCCAGATTCGGGTTACTTCGGAATTCGTTAATTGCCGTCGCGTCCGGGACTCGTAAACCATTGCGGGCCCCCTGTTTTCTTTTGAGCCCGTCACAAAAAAAACCCATACAAGAATATATATACAGAACACAGTGTCCTGGGACCTAACATCTCCCCCCCAACTGTGTTGCTCGGGCTGCAAGAACGAGCAACACACCAAAACAAAAACACAAAGTCTCAGGACCTAGACGCGAAGTGTTCACCGTGCAGCCTGGAACGGCGATTAGCTCTAACCTTCCCGTATTACAAAATGAAGCTCTACCCTTCCGGTACATTCGTAGTAAAAGCAAACACGGAAACACAAACACAAAAAAAAAACAAAAAAAAACATGCATTAGCACTAGCACATAATATTATACGGTTAGCAGAACTCATATGGGAGGCCCCAGAGATCACTCCACCGAACGTCTTGTCAGCCCGGAGCCATACCTCAAGGCCCGCCGTCTCTAGGTCGCAACTCTAAGCCTAGACAACGCGTCCGCACACTGGTTCATTGACCCCTTAATATGCGATATAGTTATCTCGTAGCGCTGGAGCGCAAGGGACCATCACGTGAGACGCGCGCTGCTCGGGGATGTGAGGGTGAGGCGCTTCAGTGGATTGTGATCCGTGACCACCTTAATTTTAGCCCCGAAAAGCCAGGTTTCGAGTCTCGATAGCGCCCACACGATCGCGAACGCCTCTCGTTCGATTGTTGCCCAGCGAGTCTCCGTCGGGGTTAGTTTTTTGCTCAGGAAAGCTATGGGTTGTTCCCTCCCCTCCCCATTCTCCTGCGAGAGACAGGCGCCAACCGCAAACTCGGACGCGTCCGTCGTCAAGACAAACTCTCTCATCAGGTCTGGCGCGGCCAGTTGGGGTGCCTCGGCCAACTTCCACTTGGCGGCGTTAAAGGCTGCTTCCGCATCTGCGGACCACGGAATCTGGTTTGCCACCCTCTTACCTGTTAGTTTTGTCAGTGGGAGCACCAGTTCCGCAAAATGCGGTACATAGTCGCGATAGTAGTTGAAAAGGCCCAGAACACTTCTCAACTTCTTCTTTGTAGTCGGTCGCTCTAGGTCCCGCATGGCACGAGTGCGTTCGGGATCCGGAGAATGGGATCCACCTCCAATTACATGACCCAGGTACTTTACCTGATCTTTGCCGAACTGACATTTTTCTAGGTTGACGGTGAGCCCTGCCTCTACGATAGTTCTCAGTACTCCAGCTAGATGAGTCATATGCTCCTCCCAGGTCTCAGAGAAGACTGCCACATCATCAACATACGCACATGCGTACGCGGAGTGGGCCGCAAGCAGCTGATTCATCACTCGCTGGAAAGTGGCAGAGGAGTTACGCAGCCCAAAGGGCATCACTCGCCAGGCATACAGACCCTGAGATGTCGCAAAGGCAGTGCATGCCTGGGATTCGGGCTCTACAGAGATCTGCCAGTATCCCCGAGTCATATCCAGGACCGAAATGAAGTTCGCCTTGGCTGCCTGCCACAGCAGTTCCGTCGGCGCTCGCATGGGAAATGCATCAGGTTCGGTCATTGAGTTCAGGCACCGGTAATCAACGCACATTCTTACCGTACCGTCTTTCTTCATGACGCACACCACCGGGTGACTGAACATACTCTCGACTGGATAGAGGGCGGTATTTTCACGACTCAAGAAATAAGTAGTAAACGAAATTCACCAACGCGCGCACCCCAAAATCGTGTAGTGTCCCAAAGCGTATTATACACCTGAAAATTGTACGCGGCAATTAAAGTAAGATAAGTTTCACTGAAAGTGGTATATTTTTGTTTCATTGTATTGGTATTTTATTTATTTTTATTGTATTTTATTAAAAGTTTCGAAATTGAAAATATAAAAATCGACTGCACCAGACCCCAATGCATCAAAAGAAATTAGGAAACAGTAAATATTTTTCGGCTTACTGTTTCCTGTCGTTACTTACTTTTATACTAAAATGCTCGTACACAAAAATCGAACCTTCTGTTGTTGTTTTTTGAACGTTGTAAGTTGCAGGTGTTCTGCCTTGTGTAGCCGTCTTCACTAAAAAAATCTTCTACAACAACCCTTTCGCTTGATACAGTATGATGTGCAAATAATTACAATAGTTTATTTTTCAACTTTTGGGGAGCAATTTTCGCCTGCAATACTTTGCCATCAAGGGGAGAGGCACAACGGCGCATGCGCGTTAGTCCCCTGAAAGTACGACGGTTGCTTCCCGCAGTGCTTGGCTAGAAATGACATACCATCGAGATTCACATGTTTATCAGCGACCTCCACGCTTCCCCGTTGCCCGTTGTTCGGAAGCGCCATAATTTGCGTAGTGATTTTTACAGCAGTGTGAAATGCGGGACATTTTGAAGATTTTGGAATTTCTTGCGGGACGCGGAACACGAGCCCTCAATGCGGGACAGTCCCGCGAGTCGCGGGACGGGTGGTCACCCTACTCCTCGCCCAAATTAGATCAGTCAATTTAGGTCTGATAAGCCTGAACTGGCTGAACTGCATAGTTCAGCCGTGTAGGAACTGGTGCATTCGATTCAACCGGAAGTTGCACGATCGCTGCACTGGCGCGTTCGATTCATCACAGTTCTGAACGAGTTCAGACCCAGTTCCTCAAAATCTTGCACCGGCTCCGGACTCGGTTCAGCGTCCGTGCAGAAGCAGACGACAAGAGCAGACGGCGATAGCAGACGACACTCCTCGTCCGTCTCTGCTCGTGGTGCCATTTTTCGGAGCTCTTGCTCAAATGTCTGCGACGTTTAACAATAACGCCGATACGGAGGTTGCATTTCCTTTCATTTATGATAATAACGTACCCGCGGTGGACGCGGCATTGAGATCATAACCGAGGGCAGGAATTTGCTTGATTATGATATTCTGAAAGTGTTTTAGGCAACTGCTCGAGTAGGTTTGGCTCCCTGTGGTGAGTGTTGAAATATTGGCTCACGTAAATTGTTTCTTTTTGGTGCTATGTGAGGATCCAGTGTTGATGTTCTTACTTACAGACACGGGAAAGGTATTGGCCTCTTGATAGTCCCCGCCTTCAGTTGCTCTTGGATGCATATTGACGACTCCGATACAATGCAGAGGTCTGGGATTTAGTGCGTTGGCACTCGCATGTCCCAGTAGCTGAGCATAAT